GACAGTATTTAGAATGCTAGTGTTACAAAACAAGCTAGCACCCTGAGTTCCAACGTCTGAATTTCCGCCATATACCTATATCCAACACCATTTCACTTTCGTACAAGATCATGAGAACGCCGAGGATAAAAGAACATTGAGATTTAAAATTTTGAATATTTGCAGGGAATTACTTATTTGAAAGCATAGCTGATCATAATATATAAAAATGGGATACCACTTTTATTTCATTAATTAAAGATGTCATCTTTAAAAAATTTCTAATTAAAGTTTTATCTTTTTTTAATTTTATTATTTAAAAATTAATTAGATATTGGTGCTAAGTAGGTAGATGAATTCCATATGTGAGACCCCACTTAAACTCCTAAATTTGTCGAAGTGTCAAAAAAGATCTGGATAATGTGGCAGAAGTGTTGCACTACAGTATAGGTGTTGGCTTTTAAACTCCTTATAAACCATGTTTTATAGAAGGTCACATAACTTTACATGATTATAATATAATTGTCATATAATGTCTTAATTATTAAATTAACCTAAGCAATTGAATTATATATTCAAATGTTTAAAAATTCATCTAAACAATATGATTAATATATCATTGATTTTATATAAGTAGTGACATAAACTTTCCTCATCATTAATATATAATCTAATTACCTAACATATTAATAAAAATAATTAATTTCAAACTTAAACTTTTTTTAGAATACAAGTAAGTACAAAATATACCAAAAAATAAATTTCAACGATTAATCACAATAAACCACTCTTAAGAAGGCAGGAAACCTAGGTTTAAAGATCTTAAACCTCAAGAAGGGCATTGAATATTGACTTGTAGTAAAGGCTTAATTCGCCTAAAAATAAAGTTTGAGGGTGAAATTGGACAAGAGGAAGTCTTGCCTAACAACCCAAAATTACTCGTTTATCCTTGTACCTTCAGCAGCGTTGTTGACTTCCTCTGCTTCATCTTCCTCTGTGATAGCTGATGACCCTTGATACAGGCGGCAGGTGACCGCAAAATTAGCAAAAAGGGTACGTTTCCAACGGCGAAGAGGTCATAACTGGTGTGTTCGGCGCCGAAAACCTCCTTCCAGCTCGTATTATCCATTCCCAGTGACCGCAAAAACCATCTGGAAAGTGGTTTTCGGAATTGGAGACGCTAGATGTGGCTTCTACTGCGCAGAAATCCCTTACTACTCTCTCATAGCCGGAGTAGTCCCCGGAGAGAGTTCCGATTTCGGGCCGGATCCATTAACGGTTGCAGTTGAGGTAAAAAAGTTCATTTAACACATTGTGTAAAAAAGTTTCCTTTTCCACCATCAGGTCAAAAATCATTACATTTAAATTGTAATTTACTTCTCCACATTTTACTAATTTCAGTTCGAAATATTTCAATTTGATTTTTTTTTCCGAAATTTGATTTTTTTTTTTTTTTCTTTTTTCATTATCAACTTTCTCTTCGGCCCCATTAATGCCTATCAGAAGGATGTGATCGACCGGCGCCTCTCACCTCCGACTGCTGACGGTCTAGCGTTTGGAAGAATTATTTGGATAATCATTTCCAGTTTGATCCAAATTGCAGGTATGTATGTATGTTCTGTGTTAAGATTTCCTTACATAATTGTCACACAAGGTCTTGACTATTAGTCTCTCTATTATGAATGATTGACTCAGATCTAGCACAATATAAATCTTAATGTAAAGAAATGAATGATAAAGATTTTGTGGAAAGGATATGTGTAACTCATGTTTTATTTAGGATTCATGGTTTCTTATCATCCTTTCCTCCGATGATATACAAAAATCCTTTGTTTACCCTTGTTTTTTTGAGGATTATTTGCCTGGGAATCTGGGATTTTAGTTGGGACGAGGAGTAGGGATGTTTTTATAATTTGAATTCAATGTATAGAATGATGACATGAATAAATGAATCAATTGAAGTGTCTATGGGTTTGTGCATGTTGCAACTATGAGAAAAATACCTATCTAGAAGCATTAGTGCTATCTACGAGTTCCCTATTCAATTCAAGGATTTAGGTTTGAATGGAGCTAATTAAATCACGAAAAAAGTAGTTACGAATTTCTTAAGCTCACTTGAATAGTCTTTGCAAATTTCCCTAGTCAATATTTCTGGGTTGAGAACATTATGATGACCCTTGCTTAAGTCTTCTTGATAGAGGGTGGGGGGTTATGTCTTCCTGTCATAAATATGCATTGACATAATAAGGCTCAATAGAATTGTTTGTACCGAATGGTGATGGAGAAATTCAAACCATTCTATTGATAGAATTAAGGCTTGATTTTGCTGATTTGATTTGTGTCTCTAGTCAATAAGGAATAGTCTTTTCTGAGAGGAGCTGAAACTTATAGAAAATAATACAAATTGAAATTTCAGTTGCGTGAGTGTGACTTTGGTTCGCCTTTAAAAACATTGGACCAGAGGAAACAGAGAGGAAAAAAAGATGTGGAGAAAGAACTAACATTAGAAAATGGTTGCTTAAATGCCACAGTTCAGTTCTAAAGTTAAAGATATTTCATCAGGTAAAACTAAGATAATTGAAATTAAGTGCTTAATCCAAGTGGTGTTTGATTCTTAAACAAGGCAGAAAACCAAGGGGAATTAGTGCTTAATTGTTGTTAAGATGACTATAACTTTGCTATATATGCGGGTTTGAGTGTCCCTTCTACTCAAATAATAAAATGTTTCTTTGGCCTTTCAAAAAAAGGGATAATTGAAATTAAGTATAGAGTTTTATCTTGTTTTTTTTCCATCCCCACATTTCACTTTGTTCAAGAAAAAAAAAGGGGAATAAGAAATAACTGCAGTTTAGGTGTCATTAGAAGTTTCAAGAGCATGACACATGTAACCCAATTTAAGGTTCTCATTAGCAGTTGTGCTGAATTTCTTAATCTCACTTGAATAGTATGTGCAAATTTTTCCAATCCATGTTGATGGTTTCAGTACGTTATGGTGATCCCTGCTCAATCAAGTCTTCTTGTTAGAGGGTGGGGGCTTATGTCTGCCTATCATATGTATGTATTCACATAACAAGGCTTTTTTTTTTTTATGAAAGGCTCCTTAGAATTGTTTGTACCCAGATGGGAATGGATAAAATTCAAACCTTTATTTTCGACATGGTTTACTTCACTCTTTACAACTTGAGCCTTGCCTAATACCAACAAGAGTTTGATCAAGTTGGTTCATACTAATTTCAAAACATTGATTTTGGGTTAATGTTAGAGTTTCAAATCATGCAAGAGTTAACCTTTATATACCAAAAATGAAAAAATTGAGCTTACCCTGAGGTTCACAATTAAATAAGGACAATGATTCACACAATGTCTACTTACAATGAAATTTTGCAATCCTAAGTGACAATTATAGTAATTATGATTGACCTTTTTTCATTTAATGGAATGCATGAATCTATATTTATCCACTTGATGCCATTTATTTATTATAAGAATTCATTTTAAGAAATATTGTACATGAATCAACTTTGATTGAATAAAGCATTACAAATTAATAATGAAAAGATGGAGATTTCAAAGAGAAATTGTTCACTTGTTATTTATAACTCTACACACAGTACACTTACAAAGTTACAAATCAATGAAATCAAGGAAAGAATTAAGGAAATCTTTTAGACCATTGAGAGTCAATTAAGGGCATGATGATGATTGAATCTTCTTAAAGTGGAAGGAGAGGTTTTGAATCTAGAGCAAACTCTAGTAGGCAGCTTAAGGAGTGGACTAGACACAAGTTGTGATTAAACCATTATAAATCCTTATGTTTGAGATTTATCTTCCCTTAACTTTTAATTTCTGCAATTTATTTTAATAAGAGTCAATTGTTTGTCGATTGTTTGTGCTTGCTCATTGATTTGGTTTGAAAAATTGCATAAGTTTTTCAAATGCCTAGTGCACTCCCCTCTTGGGTTCCTATCATATAGGCCAATGACATTGAGAAGATGATGGCTTAAATGACCCATTTCACTTCTAAAGTTAAAGATATTTCATGAGATAAAACTAATATAGTTGAAATTGAGTATAGAGTTTACTGGAAAAGTAAAAACAAGAAAAACAATGGACCTGAATAGATCCTTAAGCTC